GCAGGAGCAGTGCCCTTCTACAACCCCTCTCAGTTTGCACAAGTGAGTAAAGGCCCCATCTTGGCTTTGGACAAAACCATAAACTTTGTTAGCCCTGAGTGTTTTACCAAGTTAGTGAAAAACTGCTTGAGTAAATCATAGTCATGCTGAACCTTCCTGTGTTAGGTGACCACAGGCCACACCCAGCTTTTAGAGCCACACCAAGTTACTTATTAATGTCAGTACAAATTCCACCTCTTGTCTGAGATGCCTTTTGAACAGTCTCTGTTTTCCTTCCCCCACTCCCTACCCTCAGCTCATCCTTACAGGGAGATAATCCAGCCTGTCACCTGCTTTGCCTCTGGGCTTTCCCTGCCGTTGTAGCATTTGGGGATTTTGCAAGATAAAGGAGTGGAACAGCAGCTGCTGCACAGTATCATTTTAATCTGTTCTTAAAGTGTGAGGGGTTAAAAGGTGGTGTGACAAGAGGCCACCTCACAGGCACCTGCATTGCAGCAAGGCTTGTTGCACACAGGGCAAGGCTCTGGCTGCTGCAGGATGAGTCTCTCTTGCCTTGTTAGAGCCACAAAGATTAAAACTGAAAGTGCTTGACACTGAAAATCTGGTGCTTCTGAAGTGTGATTTAGCCCTGACAGCCAACATCACCTGGGAAGCAGAGTCTTTATCTTGGGTGCATTTTGATTTGATGTTTTACCAGCTTAACCTGGACTGATGCATGTAGAGTGTTAGCTGTGCACATAGACCAATCTAGCACCTGTTTTAATAGGTTTGCATTCAGAACTTTATTGCCCACTTCTTATATTTTGTCTCTAGTATGACATTTTGACAGAACATTTTAAATTCCTGTTCTCCTTTTTCAGTCTTCTGCAGCCACTGGAAATTCAAGGCTGGGAAGAATTGGACAGAGGAAGTATCCAACACTGAAGTAGAATACAATGGCTTTGTATTTGGAATCCTTACTCGTGGTCTGAGTATACAAAGAACTATTAAATCTTACAGCACATGGTATCAGTAGAAGCTGCAGTTGACATGACAGAGATTTAATGATGGGTGATTTTCTTCATGGGTCTCCCTATTTGCACCTCATCTACTCAAATCATTACCAAACATGAAATATGTGTTAACTTTTCCTTTAAAAAAAACAACAACAACAACAACAAAACAACAAAAACTGGCTAGAAATAGCTTTGCTGTGATAAAGAATAGACACAAGGGAGGAAATAGTCTGTTACAAAAACTATTTGTAAATTGCATAGGCAATTTATTCTTTAAGTTTATTTTAAACCTAATCGTGTGACCTTGGAAGACATAGTTTCAGGGATTCCTTAATTTCTGAAGGATTCTCCCCTCCCAGCAGGGGAGAAAAAAATGTCCACATTGTAACATAACACTCTGTGGCCTTAAGAGGACCATGCACAATTGTAATGCTTATCAAACAGGACTTGGTTTGTCTGTGTATGAAATCAGAGATGTTCACCTGGGCAATGCTGGTTTGTTTTCTGAAGGGGGGAGGGAGCCACAGCTCGTCCAAATAAATTGACCTGTATGGAATGAAAACTGTGACTGTAATCTAATACTGATTTGCTTTGGATCTTGCCTAGTATGTATGTAGTTTGTGGTTTAGACTACTTGTAAAGCAACTTGTATAGGCTGAAAAAAGTTCTCTGTATCATAGCCAGTGCTGTACTATTGGAGGAGTGAGTGTTCTTTTAAGTGCAATACGGTTACTTGCTTTCTCTCACACTGCTGGCACTGAACAATTAAGGTGGTAACAGCTTGAAAGTTGTTCAAGATTTTTCCTGTTGAGTGCCAGAATCAGCATAATACTCTGTTCTTGAATTTTCTTTACTAAAATAACCAAGGTCTTAAGTAGCTAACAGCTGAATTTTGAACGTACTAAAAGTAGACGGATTAGACCTCTACTGATGGACTTTAAAATCTTTAGGTTTATAATAAGAAATCTTGAGAACCATGATATGCAAAGTTCATAGTCACTGAAGAATCTGAATTATCTACCAAGAGAGAAATAAACTTTAAATATTTATTAAATCATTAGGCCATATTTTATTTAGAACTTGGCACCAAACTATTTGATTTTACTTGAATTTCTGCCTGTGAGTAGAAATAACGTGAATGTGAAATTGCCCGTGTTGGTCCCTGATTGTTTGGGTTTTTTTTGTTTTCCTGAATAATGCCAGGTTTCTGAGATCTCAATAGCCTTACCTGTGTCCCAGAAGGTTTGTATGTAGCTGAAGCAAAATGCTGTTTGGGGGGATTAGGAACCTTTGCATAATGGTCCATACTCAATTCCAGACGTGGTCAGCAGCAGTCAGTAGGCTTTACTTTTCTATAACAAACCTGGTCAGAACCTTGGCTTTCCTCTAGTTCAGCCAGGCTGCTGCTGATCTCCTTTCAGTAGAGACTGCCAAACAACTTCACTCGAGAAAGCTTCCTTTGAGCTGGGAGCAGTGATCTTTCCTAAGTGTAAGATTTGACACTGTAAATTCTTAAATAAAATATTTTGCGCTCTGGAGCACTTTCACATTTTAATACTTCTTGTGGTTATTGCTTGAACAAGCCTGGGTGAAGGAACCTCTTTGGAAATGGGCTGCAAGGGAGCAGCTCTGGACTGGAGCTGTTAGAAATGGGTGTCTTCACTGAGCTGTTCGAATTGAAGCTGGAGGCTTAATGTAACAATTAATAGTACTTTTTGTTTGAAGAGTAAAATGTTTTGCTTTATGCTGGGCGTTTAAACGCGGCCTTCAGGCTAGTGCCAGTCGTGGTTTGATGGGATTGATTGGTGATTGGGGATTGATTGGTGATTGGGGATTGATGGATGGATTGATTTGGTGACTTGGTGATTGGTGGATTGATTGGTGACTTGGTGATTGGTGGATTGATTGGTGACTTGGTGATTGATTTGGTGAGGGGTGACTGATTCGGTGATGGATGATTTCATTAATGACTGTGATTGATTAATGACTGGTGATTGATGCTTCCCCTCCCGGGGCTCAGCGCTGCGCTCCTCCCGCCGCCAGGGGGCGCTGCCCGGGGCGGGCCCGGCG